TCCTGGTGGTATTGGCGTTTTGAAAGGAGTGCTTGGATGTCAGTCCTCATCTGGCCACTTTTTAGCTCTGTGACTAGGTAATGCTCAAGCTCTCTAGCATTTGGGTTCTTCATCTAAAAATGGGGGTAACATTAAAATGTCTCTCACAAGTCTGGATGCCGGCTCCCACCACACACCAGTGCTCAGTGACGGCTGACCTGAATGGGGCTGGCTGTTCTATCTAGACGAAAGGTCTCTGGGATTAGGAGGGGCTTCCGGGACACACACACTGCCATCCAGGAAGGCTGCAGGCAGACTGGCTCTGACGCAGCACCGTGCCACCAAACAGGGTGCCGTCTAGCACTGCTCACCCCTTCCAGGGAGTTTCTTTCATGTTAATCTTGAGAAGTTGCCCACATGTGTGGGTTGCCTCCTCCAGGACTTCCCCAAGGTATTCCAGAGAACCGGGATCAAACTGGACTTAGCTAGGCCTGCCTGCCATGTGACCACCTTGCCCGCCTGCTCAGCTCACTGGTTCAATACTTCAGCCTCCTACTTGTTAAACACAGCCCCTAACCCACACCTGCTCCATGGGCACCTGAGGAAGACAGGTAGTGGTAGCAGGCAGACGGCTGGGATGCAGCTCATTTTCAGAGTAATGAAAGCCACCACCAAGTCAAGCAATGCTCCTCCTCATGCCTCACCTCTCCCTCGGCCACCACATCAGTGCAGCTCAACACAGACCAGGGAGAATCAGAACATCTGACCTGCACATGACAAGCCTCTCTAGGGACTCCTGTTCTGAGGAAGTTCTGTGCCACTTGGGCCTCTGGTCACGAAGGGCACACCCTTTGCAAAGCAGAAGGTGACATTTCTTTAGTACAAATGTAGAGGTCTTTTTGATTTTTATTTTCCAAAAAGGCTCCCCACCAGGGCCTTGGGGAAACCCAGAGCCGAGCAGCAAAAGGCAAACCTGCTCACCAGAAAGTATGGTTCCTGTTTGTGCCATTTCTGGCCACTTCTGGGGGTGGGTGCATGAGGCTAAGGGGAAGACAATAGATGTACGTAGACCTCAAGGGAAGAGGGGCCAACACCATGCTGGTTGTGATGCTCCATTCGTGCGTGCTGCTGGGTACGTGAGTGTCCTGGAGGACTGAGCAGCTAAGTGGGAAGGCCCCTGTACGCTGATGTGATCTCCTTGGGTCAAGCTATGCAAATGAGCAAATGGTGGGATTGGCATTGTTTCCAAAAGCTATCTCAAACTACATTATTCCTAGAAGGGACTGTTAGCTAAAAAAACCAACGCCTTCCCAACTCCCACCTAGTTTTCTTAAACAGGCCTTTGTACAAAAATCCCACACAGAAAGTTTTTTCTACCTCTAAATAAACTCCACATCACACTCAATTAGAATACTGAGCGGCTGAGTACTTTCAGTCACCTGTTAAAATAGCTTTTGGCACCAACTCTAATGACCTGAACTAGAAGCTTCAGGAACTACTAACTCTTTATGATCAACAGTTTGCATAGAGGTCTGCAGCCAAAATAAACCCCATTCGCAGATGTTCAAACATGCACTGGTAATTCTCCCCTGATGGAGAGACAGACAGGGCACACTTGCAACCTTTAGTCAGATACTCAATAAGGTCGTTAAGCCTAAGGTGCAAAATGGAACACTAATTTTGATACTAGCTAAAATAATTATGCTCTGTTATTACAGTCACAGGTCTCTAACGGGAGGGAAACGAGAGCGAAGTGTCAAGATAGCTCTGCATAATGAAACACAGTCAGGGTGTTACATGACTCCCCGAGCCTGGGCCGAGGAGCCCCTGCTAGATCCCAAGGGATGGAGGTGCTCAAGCCTCCCACAACAAGTCGAAGGCAGTTTTTCTTTTTTTCTCAGTTTCTCCCCTTTCTCTGGCAATACAAGGAAAGGGAAGAGGAACTTCCCTCTGAAGTCTTGGTGGTTTCTTGTTAAGTACATGTATAAATACAGCATGTTGAAAGCACATTCTTAATAAAATTATTAATAACTCAGAGTCAGGATGGGAGGAGCCGTCTAGTGGATCACAGGGCTTGACAGTGTGTTCCCCATTTCTATGGGGAGAGGCGGGTTTACAGAGCAGCCTTCGTGACCAACTCATGTTGTGCAACACAAGCTCTGCCTTTTCCCTGGGTGCTCAGGTACCTGAGCTCAACATGTCCCTTGAGTTGCAGACAGGACCCCCTGAAGGTTAAGAATTTCTCTAAAACACAACTCAAAACAATAAAACACAGCTGTGTGCATGCGTGTACACACACACACACACACACACACACACACACACACACGATAACTAGAATTCATAGGCTCTCACTAGAGTTCATTAGCTGTCTCTGCCTGAATGATGTGAGCAGTTCCAGATGCTGAAAGTGGGGTTCCCTGTTGAGACAAAAACTAAAAAGAACCAGAACCCAATATATTAAAGAAGCCACTAGTGGCAAACCATGCTCATGGAAAAGCAAAAATGCTATTGAGGACTGTGAGGACACTCAAGGTTAATTAAGGTACTCTGAAAAACATGATTTAAGTCAAAGAATCACGTTGGGCAGAGAGGGTTTATCAACAGATACCTGAATGGAGTGAGCAGAAACCTGAATGGAGTGGAGATGAGTGGAGTGAATGAGCAGATACCTGGATGGAGTGGAGGTTAGAGCAGGTGACCTAGTTAAGTCACCTTCACTGTAGGCCATGGTTCTGAATTTCAGGCTAGAAAGGATCTGTGCAAAAGTAAATGACAGAAAAAAAAATAGCCTATGAAAACTTGTCTGGGCCTCAACCATCTTGTTTCACAAACCAAGGCCCTGGGGCAGCAGGAGTCCACTGCTCCCCCATCTTAAGTGCGACCTAACCACTGGGCCTGACCAGGGCAGAGAAGAGGCCTCTGCCTCCAACATCTAGGCATAGTCAAGACTATCTTTAAATTTTTTTAAAAATATGTTTCTATTGATTTCAGAGAGGGAGCGGGAGATAGAAACATCAATGATGAGAGAGAATCATTGATTGGCTGCCTCCTGCTAGCCCCTACTGGGGATCGAGCCCGCAACCCAGGCATGTGCGCTTGACCAGAATGGAACCCCGGAACCTTCAGTTCGCAAGCCGATTCTCTATCCACTGGGTCAAATTGGTTGCAAGCCTGCTGAGTCAGAATAAACATTTATGCCACAAACTAATCAATGCCATGTCATCTCACCCACCAGGGGCTGCTACCAGATTAGCCCAACACAGCTCCAGCCCCCTGCCAGGAGCTTCCAGGCACTGGAAGCAGAAACTTGGAACATATGGCAAGCCGGGGACCATGCACACCTGCCTGTAGTTCAAGCCAAACCTGTACTTGAAGTAAAAAGTTACACCCCAGCACTCCCACCCCCCAAACTGGATTTAAACAAGGACAATGTAGGAAGTCAACTTAAATTGTTCCTGGAGCCAGTTTGTGGTTTTTCACATTAGAAGCTGGGGGTGGAATCAGAACCTGCGCTCAACAGCCTGCAGCAGTGCTGGGGGGCGGGGGCGGGGGGCAGGGGAGTGGCTGGGCCATCTCTGTGTGAGATGCAATCACTCCAGACTGCTGGCATTCAGTTCCCACCCTGTGCAGCAGCACACAGCTCCCGTTTCTGAACTTCTTGCTTTCATGGATTGACTTTTCTCCCATGGAGAAATTGGTTCACATTTCCTAGTGTCTGCTGTATTTCCCCCGGAGGAAAACAGCCTCTAAAATAAAATCAGCATCTGTGTTGGAGGAGCAGGCTCCGAATCTGCTTCATGGCCCTCCCAGGCAGGAACACGCACCGCCCATGCCTTAGCTAAGGAAGGATGCTCTGAACACAAAGTTAAATGTGGCTACGCTACCTTTTATTAATAAAAGTGTGTAGCTGTTGGTAAATGTCACCATGGAGAGAACATAAACCATGGGTAAGACACACCAAGAGAGACAGGCCAGCTGGGAGACTGAAGCACGTGACCAGAGGCTACAGTCAGGATGGCAGCAGGACTGTCGAGACTGCTGCCCAGGCACCAAGATTGTGGTCAAAGGCATCGCTGCAGCACTGGAATTAAGGCAAAAACATGTCCTCTCGCTAAGAGTGTCCTCAGTGCTCAACATGTAACAACACGATTACACAGGTACTCCATTTAAAACAACAGACAAGTTCACAAAACAGTTCTGGACACTTAAACTCTAGGTTTTCTTTCTGGCAGCACCAGACTAAACTCGATGGCTCTGCAGCATTTCCGACTTCAGGTGCGTTACAGTCTTCTGAGAAAGGCCCAGTACTTCAGAACGCCCGGTGTGGCTGTGGAGAAAGAACAGTGCTGGCAACAAATAGTAAGACAGCATTTCGGGACCCACAGGAATATATTTTGATGCTCATAAGTGAACATACGTTTAAGCATTCAAACTGATATCTTCAATACTTTCTAGTTAACATATTTACATTTATTTTTGGTTTAAGGAAAAGTGTACTTCATAGGCAAATTATTTCATCTGTATGTGGGAAGTCCATGGACACATTTCTTATTGAATACCTGGGGCCTGTACGCCCGTAGAGTTGGGAGATGTCATTGTCCCGATCCCCCAAGAGCTCACCTGTGACACACCCTCTAAAGCACGGGAAACCTCTTACTCAGGCTCCTTGTGTGGCAGCATCAGAGAAAGAGTGCAGCACCTCCTTAGGGAGAAGCCAGGGATGGGTTTCCATTCCGTGGCTCTGCGCGCTGAAGCATTGGAGCTGTACAAAGGCTGGGCACAGAAATGCTTGCAGCACGCCGGCATGCCCGCTGGCCCATGCTGCAGCTGTAGGTGCTCTGCTGCCTGCTGGCCGTGGCCTGAATGTGGAATTTTACCCACCAGAAAGCATTATTGGAGCCCAAATCAGAAACTTTAAATAGCTCAGTGACACTGATGCTTTTCCCTTTGGCTTCAGAAAACAATCACAACCGAACATCTTCAACTATGAGGCAGAGTTGACTGGAACCACGAAAAACGCCTTTTCAAAAAACATTTAATGAGGTAGCTGAGATCAAATATCAAATCCACAGCATACACAAAGGTGCTCAATAAGTGCACATTTAAAATTGTATCTTTAAATGCAAACTGCTACAATGCCTAATAAATGTTCTTTCTTCCCCAAACCTAAAAGTGCGAGCAAGCCTTTGGAAGGGCCCCTGGCAGAGAGAGACAGAAAGTGGTTGGGAGTCAGTGAAGCTGGAGGGAAGAGAAAGGCAGGGCATTCAGAGCATACAGCTTTGGCTGAATTGGTAGTGCTCCCCATGGAACTAAAATGCAGTGGGTGCCAGAGAGAACAAATACCACACAGAACCTGGGGACATGATGGGCTCCAAGGGGACCTGACTTGAGGCAGCAGGAAGCCCAATCCTGGGGCAGTCATTAAGTCTAGGCAATGGTCAGAACACTGACCGCCACATCTTCCAAGGCCCCCGAAGCCATCTCAGAGGGAGTCTGGCCACCTGCTGCCCTGCCATGGCCACCTGTGCTCTGGGGGTGGCTGCCTTCAGCCACTGCCCAAGTTCTCAGTGCGTGTTCACAGACAAGGGCTGCTTCTGGCTGCACAGCACTGCAGATGCTGACAGGAAAGCCCTCACTTGGAGCGCTGGGCAAAGGGAAAGGGGGTGGTAGCAGCTGGCAGTGTGGACCGAGAGTGCTCGTCACTGTTCACACACTCACACATGCAAACAGACACATGCAGACACACACACACACACACATGTGCACAATGACCCTCACAGAGGCAAGTGACAGTGTGGGCAGCGAGCAGCCTCCAGACAGTGCAGAAGTTTTGGGAAGACAGAGTGGAAGGGCCTGAGGCAGGGCTGGGGAGGTCCTGGATAGGAGCCTGGATCCACTTTCTTCGCCAGCCTCCCCTCCTGTCCTCTGAGGCGAGGTGGCACCCCGCACACGAGGTCGCCTGGCGGAAAGGCAGGCACCAGGTCGCAGTGTTAGGTCTCCGTAGGGTACTTGCTGTAGGCCAGAGGAGGCAGGGCCTGAAAGCTGCTCTCCCTCCAGGCGCCGGGCGGGGCCTCCATGCGCCCCTGCTCTTTATATTTACCCAGAATGTTCCTGGCTTCTTCTGCGTCCCTCAAAGGGCTCTCTCCATACTCCTCCTTCAGCCACTGCCGGTACTGAAGGAGTTGAAAAGAAAAGCAAACGTCACACACACATCGGCATGCATGTAAGACTTTTACGTGTTACATACAAACTGGCAAATACATGGGCATGGGCAGTCACAGCTCTGTGGTGGGCCAGGCAGTGTCAAAGAAGAGAAATTACTGCTTCTTCAGGTTTTGGCTTGAGGACATGAATGTCAGCCAAACCTAGAAAACAGTACTTGACCCCCAGGGAGAGAAATGAAGCACACGGGGCCCAAGGAAGATCGTAAAGGGTGATATCCTGTGGCTGTGGCTGGTGAACAGGGACCAGGGAGGACTTCATGTGGGGTGCAGGTAAGGTATCCTTGGACCAGATGTCCTCTGTGGGCCTCTCCAACTTCAACCTCCATGCTTCCAGGATTGTGTGGAAAGACAGGCACCTTCCCAGAGTGTGCTGCGTACCTCCCGAGTCCCTGGAGCACAGTTACCTCATGGACTTCATGCTTCTCAAATTCCTGGAGCTGTCTCTGGAAGCCCAGGTTGGGGTTGGCACAGGACCTGCCTGCACGCACAGTGTGCAGGGCATCTTCCCAGCCAAAGTCAGTGACGGTCATGATGTACGCGATCACCAGAGTCACACTCCTGGAGACACCGGCCAGGCTGTGGGGCCAAGAGAATGGCCCGTGGGCAAGGAAGGTTTAGGGTCTGCAGTCTACCTTCTGATCCATTTGGAGCAAGGACTTTATGGACCTGATTCTAGAGTCTTCCTGCCTTGGATTGCGAGTGGACAGCAAGCCAATATGCTACCTGGAAATCCCTCAACCATGGACACAACCAGGCAGAGGACCTGAGAGCACACACACACGTGCTCTGAAATTCAGCCATGTGTATGCTCTGCGGGCAGTAAGGGTTACGTGTCTCTAGCAGGCTGAGTAGGGGACCTATTGTAAATGCATATGCAAAGTAAGGTGGTCAAGGAAAGGCTGTGCTGCGTCAGATTTGGAGTGTTCTAGTAACGGTTTCTGATGGGGAAGTTTAGCACATTTCTCATTTTGAGAAAAGTCTATATTCAGATTTGCACAGCTGTATGAAATACAAATTCCTAGACTATGAGACCTACAGATAGTTAAATATAAATAATATTATCAATATGGTAATAACACTAATAAACCACTTTGATGTGATGTCTCTTCCGTAAGGCTTTATCTCAGAAATGATGAAATTTTTTAAAAAATACATCTTCTCGCCCTACCCAGTTTGGCTCAGTGGATAGAGTGTCGGCCTGTGGACTGAAGGGTCCCGGGTTCAATTCCGGTCAAGGGCATGTGCCTTGGTTGCAGGCACATCCCCAGTGGGGAGTGTGCAGGAGGCAGCTGGTCGATGTTTCCAGCTCTCTATTCCTCCCCCTTCCTCTCGGTAAAAAATCAATAAAATAAAATATATATATTTTAAAAAATACATCTTCTTGAGCTGCAACCTGGAACCCTAGAAGTCCAGGTAGAGAAAGGAGTTCAAAACTGCCCTTTAAATGGCTCCAACTGCACTCCCTAAGTGATACACACACACACACACACACACACATATATATATATTTTAGAGAGGAAGGGAGAGGGAGAGAGAGGTAGAAACATCAATGATGAGAGAGAATCATTGATTGGCTGCCTCCTATACACCCCCTACTGGGTGGGGATCAAGCCTGCAACCCAGGCATGTGCCCTTGACAGGAATCAAACCTGGGACCCTTCAGTCTGTAGGCTGACGCTTTATCCACTGAGCCAAACCAGCTATGGCCCCAAAGAGCTTTAATGAAAAGGCAAACAATGCTACAAAACCCACCATTTGTATTTATAACATGTCCTACTCTTTTTAAAAGTAAAATAAATAAGCACTCTATTTCAAGAACTTTATAAAACTGCAGAACACCCTTTTTAAGCAATCAAACTATCTATGTTTTTGCTCCCTCAAGACGGGTCCCTGGCCCTTAGGACAAACGACAGTTCTCATGAATGACCCCTGTGGACACTGTGCACTGGACCCCCTCTGCCACCAGGGCTGCCCCCCACTTCGGCAGTGGCACGCCCAGCGGCGCTAGTGTATTTCCAGAGAGCTTCACTGCAACAGGGATTCAAGCTGCTGGCCAACATCGAGCCTCATTCAAGGCAGAGAGGCAGGTACTCAGCCTGCACTCTGACACTGAGCATGGCTCCAGACTTTGGCTGCTGCCTCCCATACAGGTTAGTGATGCTGCCAGAGGAAGACAGAAAAATGAGGGAGTGAAGTGAGAGCCGACACTCTGGGAGAGCTCACTCTGCGCCAGGCTCCGTGTGCTGTCCTTCAGCTCCACCTGTCCCAGTCCCTTCCTCTGCAGTGCGTATATACATGCATGTATATGTATGTGTGCCTACATCCACACCCAGAGTACAGCCGAATCCAGGGGCACAGCTGTATGTAACTGCTTAATTCTAAGTCTATTCAGATCCTTTCAAAGCCAAACACACACAAAGTCCCAACCTAGATGGAGAGAGAGCCGCCACTCTGGTGCTACGGTGACGCAGTACTACAGTGACGCGGTGCTACCACCACACACGCAATCACAGCTCTGCGGAAGGAACTGTGCTCTGAAAGACCCTGAGGGCTCAGGGACAAACCTACAGTCTGTGCCCTCCATGGAGGCTGCTCTGACAGAATGGCAGAGGTTGGCCACAAAGGCTCTGCTGTCCAGGGGCCTGACAGTCCCTATAGAAGTCCTACCTGTGAAGATGAAAAACCTAAGTTTTAGGGTTCTCTCTCAATGAAGGCCAACGGTGTTGAACAAAGAGGAGACTCAAGTGGGGTGTGTGTCTGAGGTTTCGAGGGAGGAAAAAAAACCATTAGGAGATGAAATAATTAACTGCACACAGGGAAGCCCTGAGAATCGACCAAGCTGAACGGCTATCAGGCAAGAGGCATACATACCAGTGGACAAGACAGCCCTCTCCCCGGAGCCGGCACTCGTGAATGAATTTAATACTTTCTTTGAAATGTCTTGTCCTGAGGGGAGAAAAAGAGAGAAGTGACATTCATTTACTCAACACATGGTAAAAAGTCCACCTGAGGTTTGTTAGAAGGTCTCGGCCACTCAGCTTCCTGGCCACAATGTCGGGCAGAGCTGCCTGCGTGTCAGCGCCCATCACACACCCCGAGGCCTGGGGAGCTGAGGCCTGAGGGCTGCCCACCTCTGGGCTGCTTGGAATTTCTCTACTGCCACTGACTGGTGGTCATGGTGGGTGGCTTCTGCCCAGCCCCACAGTCAGTCTGGCCCCCTGATGCTTGGCAGCACACCGGCAACCCTACAGCCACTTTGGTGAGGAAGGTGCCCACTTATGCAGGCTCCCTAAGTCCGAAAAGCTAGTTTACTTCTGACACTCTGAACAACCAGTAAGTCTTCCACACCGGCCTCCTCCTGTCCCGTCTGTGACAGGAGAGCTGTGTGAAAATGACAACTGCAGCTCCAACGCCTACCCACTCAGTAGCTTAGTGGCTGTGTGGCCTCAGGAAAGCCCCGTGGCTCCCCTTAACCTCTGCTGTAGTGGGAATAATGTTTTACATGCCAACATGCTCCATGGATTCTAAAGTTCTCTAGGACAATAAGCCATGACCCTCACTTCTGACTCTCAGCTTTGCTGCCATGTGTCTAGTCAGAATGGGAAATCCAGGTGTGATGCGATGATCGCCACAGGCACTGACTACAGAGAAGTTCTGTAGTGTTAAGTTCAGGTGCCTAGCCACTCTGGGACAGGCATAAATCTGCAAAGTGACTCAGGGCATTGCAACTCTACTCCCAAAGACTGGCTTGGTGTAAAGTGGGCAAGAAAAGATTCCTGATGGAATCCTGACATCTGAGTGTTAGTGCTGAGAGTCCTTAGAGCGGGGTGTGGAGCCATGAAACTGTGTGGAGGGGTGTAAGCACGGGGTGAGCCCAGCCTGAAGGCCAGGCCCTGCAAGCAGGTGAGGGCTCGGTGCTCAGTCTCCCATTTCTCAAACCCAGCAATGGGGAGCATGCAGTGAAACCCTCTGGCTCTGCAGGTGGCGAAGCATGTTCGGCTGCACTGACTTCGCTGGGGCAGCAGCAAGCCCAGTCTTCAGAATCCCCTATTCTCTTCAGTTCTGGCCTGAGAAGTGAAGGGAAAGCTTGTGGTGGGGATTTCTGGGAAAGTTTTCCTTCTGATGAAAGGAAAGCTATCTCTGCCCTAGGCTTCCTGCCAGGGCACTGGAAGTGAGCACTCTGCCTAGAACTGCATCAGATGCCTGGGACCACAGGTGACAGGCCTCCGAGTGGAAGGGTAGCAGGATGGATAGGGGGGCATCAAGGTGTTGCTGCCTAGGCCTGGGAGCATCCATTTTCAGACTTCTGGGTCAAGGAGTTAAGTAATAAATGTCTTTATAACTTAAAACACTGTCAATCAGATATTCTGTTACCTATAACCAAATACAATCTTCCTGATATCAGCAACTAATTCAACAGTTTTAAACACATGGAGCCAACTCTTCTGGCTTAGGAGTGGCTATAGGCTACTGTCTGCAATCGGCTTCGTGGTTTACACAGTGTGACCTGTCCTCCTCTGGAGGCCACTGCATAGGGGAGACAGGACAGGGGTAAGTGGGTCTGACTGTATATCCAAGCCGGACAGCCGGCCCAGAAGCCAGGCCCACCCCTGACTAGAGGCTAGTGGCCAAGGGTGCAGCTAGAGTGTGCACGCCTTTGTCACCAGGCCAGCCACACTAGGACATCCAGGGGATCTGGAAAAGCCTCCCAGGCCACAGCCTGTGGTCCAGCCTATCCTTTGTGGGAGAGCTGCATCTGGGATAAGACAGCAGGGAAGAAGAAGGCAACCAAAAAGAGAAGAGCACACCTAGGAATAAATGACAACTGCCTTAGTGCATAAACAACAGACTGTCTGGGAGCACTGCAAAAGCATCCAGTGACACAGGAGCTAACAGTGCTCCACCAGGCGGGCAGGCCTTGCTGTCTGGGGACAGGGTTGGTGCTGTGGCAATCACCAAGATCTTGCAAAGATGACACACGAATGCTTTTGCTGAAATTTCGGAGTGGGAACATCTTATGTCCAGTTTTTATACTTGCACATCCCAAACTATGTGCACAATGGAACCTAGGTCTTAAGCACTGTGGAGTGTATCTGGGTTCAAGAGCAGCCTTGTCACATCTCAGAATAAGAGGTGGGGGGTGTGGGTGTGGTCAGGAGGGCAAATCTAAGCTTGCCACGGCCTAGAGCCAGTGTGTAAAGGAACTAAGGGGCTGAGGACGGGCCCTCACTCTGCCCCCACCAGACCCTTACTCCTCCAGCTCTAACTGCATCCAGTGCAAGTGCAAACGAGCCCACGAGGGCTCCTGTGCACCCTGCAGAGCCCAGAGCGCCTGGCCCAGGGGCGCAACAATACCAACAAAGTGCCTGCTCAGAGCCCTGCCAGGAAACTTGACTCATGACACTTTAGGCACGAGGCCAAGCCAGGCAGGCATTCCTAGAAATGCCTTTTCCAAGAAAAGCCAGGAGGCAGGCGTGCTCACTACTGCTTTGGTGTGTTGCAGGGAGTGGGGGGTTATTTCCAGGGAAGCTAATGACATAAGCCCAAGCCCTGGCCATTAAACACCCTCCTCCACAGTGGGAAATACCCACGACTCTGGTTCTGATATTGCTCCACCCTCTGACTGAAGCAGAAGCATAGCCTGAGGCACCATCGCACCACAAACTGCTTCCATAAACACAGGTTCCCTATTCCTGCTCCTCATTGTGTATTTGCTTCCACACATTCTGTACTCAGCAAGCCAGCCTGCTGGTTCAGAAGGAAAGCACAGCCTGCAAGTGTTCCAAAAATGCCGCTGCCGCTGACACTCAGAGGGAAGCCCTGGGCCACGTGTGTTCCACACTTACTCAATAATGCTGCTGCTGACACCCAGAGGGAACCCCTGGGCCACGTGTGCTCCACACTCACCCAATAATGCTGCTGCTGCTGACACTAAGAGGGAACACATGGGCCATATGTTCCACATTCTCCCAATAATGCTGCTGCTGACATCCAGAGGGAACACTTGGGGCCATGTGTCTTCCACACTCACCCAATAATGATGCTTCTGCTGGTGACCACCCAGAGGGAACCCATTGGGCAGGCAGAGGGCACTTCAGCAGAGATATCCTTCATGGGGCTCAGCAAACAGCCCCACAGCTGTATTGCCCAGGTGCCCTTCCTCTTCTTCCTCCTCAGTCTGTGCTAGCCTCCTTGTGGACAGTGCATCCCCAACCCCTCCTTCTCCATCCAGAGACCAGAACCAGGGCCAGCCATGCTTTCCTGACCTTCAGAGAGCAGCCAAGCAACACCATATGGTGTTCATCTTCATACTCCAAGACTACAAGTCTTGGTCGCTGCGATCTCCCTGTGGGCATGGAGTCCTGTCCTGTGAGGACTCTGCCTCCGTAAGCTGAAGCCCAGAAATGGCCCAGCACCCTGATGGCAGCTGGGCTTACTCACAGCAGCCGTACAGACAGCAAAGCCACGAATTTTGTGCACCAAGCCACTAGTATATAATTTATTTTTGCTAATAGCTATTCTTTGTGGTTTTGATTTGCATTTCCCTAATAATTAGCGATGTTGAATATCCTATATAATAAAAGACTAATATGCAAATTGTCCCCTCTACTGGAAGTTCCGACTGGGAGTTCGACCAGGGGGTGGGGCTGGCCCACCAACTGCCCTCGGTCCCTCCCCCTGGCTGGCCCCGCCCCCGATTGCCTCCCAGACACCACCCGAATTCATGTACCGGGCCTCTAGTCTTTTCATATGTCTTTTGGTCATTTGTATTTCCTCTTTGAAAAGATGTCTATTCAGACCCTGTGCCCATTTTTCAATCAGGTTGGTTGCACCTTACTTTTCATTCTGGCAAATAAGGTTATTTTATTTTTATATTATTATTTTTAAATATATTCTTATTGATTTCAGAGAGGAAGGGAAAGGGAGAGAGAGAGAGATAGAAACATTAATGATGAAAGAGAATCATTAATCATTTGCCTTCTGCATGCCCCACACTGGGGATTGAGCCTGCAACCTGGGCATGTGCCCTGGTGGGGAATTGAACCATGATCTCCTGGTTCTTAGGTTGACACTCAACCAACTGAGCCACACCAGCTGGGAAGATAAAAGCAATCTAAAAAAAACCAACACACCCAAGAAAAAAAAAAACCCCTCTTTACCATTTAGTACAAAATAATTTCACAAAGAATAGTTCAACACTACAAACACTAGAAAGACATAGTCTAAGACTAAAAAATAGTTCAAGTTAAAGCCTTATGAAAAATGCAATATACACTTTCCACATATTTCTCTTTCCTATAGACTGCAATGTCCTTAGGAGCCGTGTGTGAGCACGTGTGTGGAAGTTCTCATGTGTGTATGCATCTGTTTGGAAGGACCATCAAGGGCCACCTAGCTCTGATCTTGCAAAATTGTTTTTTAAACAATGAAAATAAAAAAAAATGTAAATAGGAGAGAGTACAGAGGACATCAGCTACACTAAATAAAAATACACAAAAAGACAGGGAGGTAGAATGAGGCAAGAAAGTTTTATTGAATTGTTAAATATCAGCTCTCTGTACTCTAATGCCTCTTCTCTTCAGGAGAACCTCAAGCAGTTTAGAAATCTGTTTGATTCCCAACCCGGGGACGTCATGAAGGCTTTACGATAATGAGACAATGTTGCCAACTCCCCAGCACAGACCAAGCTCCTGCGTTTGACCGAAGGAGAAGATGAAAAATAAGAGTTATACCCTTAATGATGTCTACATATAAAATGCCAACTTAATAAACATTAAAATAAGAATGAACAAATAAGCTGCTATACACCTAACCACTCACTTTCAAAGTACATTATCACTCCTTACTTGAATACACAGAAATTAAAATCTTATCTTTGCAGATGCTTAGTGTTCATAAACACTTCTACTTATCTCACCTAATACTATAAAAATTGTGTGAGAGAG